TGACAGCCAGTACTCCCACTGGGACAGCCAGCATGCCTGTAGGGACGGCCAGCACACATATAGTGACAACCAGTGTGCCAATGGGGACAACCAGCACACCCATGGTGGCAGCCAACATACCGATGAGGATGGCTGATGCAGCCATGGGAATGGCCAATGCACCCATGGGGACAGCAAGTCCGCCCATGGTGACATCCAGTGTACCTGTGGTGACATCCAGCATATCCACAGTGACGGCCAGCACACCCCCAGGGACAGCTCCCCCAGCCACGCAGGCACAGAGCGGGGCTCAGGGCAGGCAGTACTACGAGGTCCACCTCACCCTGGCCAAACCCAAACCGGTGAAGAACCGCACGGCACGGCCATTTGGCACACAGACACCCCCTGGGCTGAGCCAGCCCCCGGAACGAGCCCCTGGTGCTGAGCCACCACCACCCACCTATGCAGAGACGCTGGGCAGCCCACCCCCACTCAGCAGGGTCCGCTCGCCCCCCACCTACTCGACCTTGTACCCCCCTGGGGAGCAGAAGGCACTGCCAGGCCCTGGTTATGGGCTGGCAGCAGTGGTTCCCTTGCCCAAAACGGGCATCCTGGAGGAGTCAGCGGCACGTAGGGGCCACAAGAAGTCCATGTTCACATTTGTTGAGAAGCCCAAGTTGGGCCCCAACCCCGACCTGCTGGATTTGGTGCAGAGCGCAGACATCAGGAAGAAGCAGAAGGAGCATGGGGATCCCAGTGCTGAGGATGAGCCCTTTGCTTTAGGGGCTGAAGCTGCCAACTTTGTCCCCACCAGCGCATCCAGGCCTGTGCAGGCTCTCCCGGTGCCCGACGATGCCCCAGCCTGGTCCTCCTGCCTCAAGTCCCCCATGGTGAAGCCAAAGCCGAAGCCGCAGCCCAGCCACAACCTGAGCGAGGCCAGAGGGAAGGGGGCTGAGCTCTTTGCCCGCCGGCAGTCCCGCATGGAGAAGTTCATCATCGAGGCTCCCTCCCAGCCCGAGCTGCTGCGCTCCCCATCGCCCACCATGTCGCTGCCTCCCTCCTGGAAGTACGATGCCAACGCTTGCCTGTCACCCATGGTCTCCAGACACCCCACCAGGAGCCCCTCCCAGCCCTCCAAAACCCCCCCTGCCTCTCTCTACGGCAACAACCCGATGGAGAACGAAGTGGAGCTCTCCAAGCACCAGCCCTACCAGCTCCAGCCTTCACTCTTCATCCTCTCCCCATCCAAAGCTCCAGCGAGGTCCATGCCACCACCCAGACCCTCACCTCCCAGCTCTTACTCCTACCCACAGCACACCTCCTGCCCCACCTCCCCACTGCCTCTGTCCCCCATTTGGCAACCTCCCACCACACACGGGGCTGCTTCCAGCCTTTTCCCCAGTGCCACTGGGGCTGTGCCCATGACTCACGGTGCTGGAGGTGGTGGTGCAGAGCTGCTGCTGGCATCGCCGTGCCACGGGCGCTCCCCTCGAGCCAAGGCTGGCTTCCAGGCACCTCGACCCTCCTACTCCACCAGGAACGCAGGGATCGAGCCACAGGTGTGGAAGCCTTCTTTTTACTACAAGTAGAGAGTGAACGCGGGCAGATGTTGGGCTCCCCTCCAGCTGGCCAAACCCTCGAGCATTGCTCAAGGGGTGTGCAAAAAGCCAAACCAACCTGTAAAAGGGTGGATGAAAAAATGACAGACAAAATGAAGTAGCACAGTGGCTCCCAGAGCCCAGCTCTAGGGTAGTGCTATGGGGTGAGGACACGGTGCTGAGCCCCAGTGGGGCAATGGGAGCTGTGTGTCTGTGCCAAATGGGGCTGAGTCTGCAAAGCAAAGTGCATGGACAGGAGCACGGCTGACCTGCAGCACCTCTGTGGCTTTCTCTCTTCTCTTGCCTGGAAACTTTATGGAGCACTCTGGCTCTGCCTCGGTCCTTTTCTCACCTTCTGCACTTCCAGATCTCTGTACCAAAGCGTGGCCAAGGGGACATTCTGCCCTCCCACCGCACTGTGCCTGCTCCTGTCTCTTCTGCTGCACCTTTGGGATCTGTCTCCATTTGCTCCCACACCACAGAGAGAAGCCTCCTCCCCACCATGCAGGTGGCACTGGGGTTACGCTGTGGTCCTTGTACATCCTGATGCTCCCTTGTCTCCCTCCAATCCAGCAGGGTGATTTGTTGCTTAGACTGATGCTGCTGTGCTGTGCCAGGCTCTCAGTTGCTCTGCCCAATCCAGCCTGGCAGCAGCCAGCTGACAAATGCTGCTGCAGCTGGGCAGCTCAGTGCTGGAGTGGGCTGCTAGCAGGGCTGGCACAGCCGTGAGATGAGGGACTGCATGGGCAGGGCTCAGTGCTGGAGCTTTGGAGGCATCTCCAGGGCCCGACAGCTCAAGCTCTGACCGTGGGATGCACCAGCAGATGTGCCCTTTGCCCAGATGCTGGCTTCCTCACATCCAATGGGCACGTGCCAGACCCATCCTGCACAGCAGGGGGATGGGGTTGGGGCAGGGAGGTGCCTGGTGGAGGCAGGGAGTACCATGGGCTCTTGCTGCTCTCTGCATTAACAAGTTGCCTTTCGACTGTGCTTTTATTTCTCCTGCATTTTTTCCCCTTCCTCTTTCTCAATACACTCACGTGCACTATCAAACCTGTCTTTTCTCTTTCCTGCTGGCTCAGGAGGAGCTGCGGGGCAGCAAAGCTCAGCACTGGGGCCTCTGGTGCTTAGTGAGACACTGGATCATGCATGGAACCGGATGATCTTTAAGGTCCCTTCCAACCCAAGCCATTCTGTGATTCTGTATTTGGGTAAGAGTGACGGACTGTGGCTTGGCCTGCCTCTGTGGGTCAATAATAGCCCCATCTACAGGCAGTGGCAGCAGCGCAGGGCAGAGATGTCCCAACTGCCCACACCAATGGAACTTTGCTTCTGTCTCCAAGCCCCTTGGGAGGGAACATTACAGTTGCTCCCCTCTCACCTCTATTCCCCATCACCACTGCTAGGTCTCCAAGCAGTGTCGGGGGACACTAACGCACTCTCTGTCCCTGCAGGAAAGGCGGCCGTCCCTCCCCGCCTCGCCCACCTGGACCCCACGGCTGGCGCGGAACCAGGGCAGCCAGGACGGCTGGGCCAGCCCCGTCTCTGTGCCCGAGCTGGAGCAGGGGCCGCCCCGGTCCCCGCCCTGGAGCGAGCGCTCTCTGTCCCCGCAGCGGCAGGACGCCGAGCCCCGCGCCAGCCGCCAGATGCAAGCGCGGCTCGCCAGGAACATCATCAACGCAGCCCGCAGGAAGAGCTCCTCTCCCAAACCCCTGGGGCCGGATGGCTCCCGGCCCTTCACCCCCCCGGCCGTGGTTGCTCCCGGTTTGCCGCAGGGGTGTAAAGCCGCTGCCCCGCAGCGTGCCCGCAGCTTACTGGCTGCGCCGGGCAGTCCCTCACCGTCGCACAAATCGCCCCTAACAGAGGGGCCCTGTGCCTCCCCCGGGGTGTCCCGAGCCACCTGGGCAGAGGGCCGCCGGCTCCTGCTGCCACCCAGCCCGGCCGGGCCGTCCCCCACCCCAAAGAGCCCTTTGCCATCGCCGGTGGTGGGCGCACGCTCCCCGGCCAAGCGCTACAGCTCCCGGTCCCCGACGGACTCGGACGTCTCCATCGACTCCGAAGATTCGGGAACCAAGAGCCCGGGAATCCACAGCTTTAACCTGTGTCCGCGGGGCTGGAGCGGGAGCCTGAGGCTGAAAGCGGGGGGGCTACCGTCGGGGGCCCCCTGCACCTCCTAGAGCAGCCCCAGCTACGCACACCGCTTGGGGACGGGGCAGCCCCCGCGGTGCCACCCGTGGGATGGGTGACAACGCCCTCGGTGCTGGTCCCCAGGCAGGGAGAGGCTCTGGGCTGGGGGTGGATGGGGTGGCCCCGTCCCTATCAGTGCATCTCCGGGGTCAGCCACCTTCTGCCCGCCCACAGCCCCATGGCCCAGAGCTATTTTTACCATCCTAACCTTTTGGGGCAGGACTGCGTGCTCAGCACTGGGCACAGGGCAGCTGGCAGTGGGACCATCCCTGTGCACAGTGCTGGGGGGGCACAGCCCTGCACCCCACGGCTCAGCTTTCTGGGGGTGGCACAGCACAGTTGGGGCACCCTGCCCAGCCCTGCTTGGCAGCCCGGCTGTTTTCAATTGAAACCAGATTTGGGGGAAGAAGAAGCGAATATTTTATCCTCCCCACCTCCAAATTTTCGTCGCTTTTATGGTTTTTTTCTTTTTTACTTTTGATCCCTTCCTGAAGGAATGTCCCCTAAATTCTTCCCTAGTGATAACGAAGATATCCAGAGTTATTTATTGCCATGCCAACGGGACCATGGATATGTTACCTCCCACTGCCTGGGCAGAGGGGGCCAGCGCCAACCCCTGTCATTGTCCCCATCCCCATCCCCATGGAGAGACATGGCAGGGACAGAGGGTAGTGCGACAGGGGGAGATGGGGGCATGCAGAAGGCAGCAGTGCAGGTTGCAGAGGGCTAGGAGGAGGTCTGGATGCAAGTGTGAGGGTTTGGGGACAGGTCAGTGTCTATATGGGAGCTCCCTGCAAGAGGCTGAGCTCCCTGGAGCACAGCAGCAAAGGTAAGTGATGGGGGGTGATGGGGAGAGGGGGCAACAGAGTGGGCACAGTTATAGGGCAGAGCCTGGGGAGTGAGGCAGGGAGAGCTAAGGTGGCAACTTCAGGGTACTGGGAGAGCGCAGCCCTGGCACCAGCGAGAGCAGCAAAGGAAAGGGGGGTGGTACCAGGGCAAGGTGCCTCTTAGGGGAGCCCCTGTCCCCCTATCCCTTTCCCTGGGACACACTGTGGTAGCAAGCATCTTTGTCCCCTGGGTTCTGCAGCCATCACGCCCCGCCTGCGCCATGCACATGTATTGCCAGCTCAGAAATAAACTGCCGCTATCCCACCTGCCTGCCTGCCTGCTTCTGACCGTCCCCAGGTGCCTGGGTGCACGCAGTCACCTCCTGCTCACAGCCACCACCCCTGCCTGGGGGTCTGTCCTCAAGGGTCAGCCCCACTCAGTGCTGGGGTGGCACCATCCCTGTCCCCAAGGATCAGCCCCGCTCCGCCCCTTTCTCAGCCAGAAATAACCGTTGCTCCGCAGCAGGACTTTGGCATCCCAGCCAGAGCCCAGCACGGGGCGAGAAGCAGAAGCACAGGGTGCCAGCTGGGGCCACCCAATACTGCTGGCTGAAGCCACACTGTGTCTTTGTACACTGTGCAACCACAGGGCATCCTCAGCTCCTGCTACCACAAGGAATCCTCTGGCCAGGTAGGGGATTGTGGTGCTGCGCTCGGGCCAAGGGACGGGTGGGTGCACAAGGCTTGGGGACAGCACAGCCTTGGGGTCCTGGTGTGGTCCCCCTAATGGAACAGAGCAGACAGAGCCAGGAAAAGGTTTGCAGGGGAATGAGCTGTTCCCTGTTCCTCCATGCTGCTGCCACCTGAGGATGGGCAACATCGGAGCCAGAGCTGGCAAAGAACCACGTGCCATGCACCACGCAGCCACAGCCTGGGGGGACCCGGAGCTGACCAGGGCTCCTAGGAAAAGGTGACAGCCTGAATCCCCGCTCACCACATAGGCTGGGTTCCTCGGTTCCTCGCCCTGAGGGGTCAGAGTTGCAGCTCCTGCGGCCAGCAGCTGAAAATAGCTCTGCTGAGGTGAACGGTGGGAGCAGCCAGATCCCACAGTGCTGCTCCCAGTGGGGCTCAGGGGTAAGGACGCCTTGCTGCAGGCAGTGCTGGGCATATTTCTGCCCTAAAGGAAGACAAAACGGAAATCAGATACAAGATGACTCCAGGCTTCCCAAGGGGGTTCTGGTTGCAGTGAGAGGGAGGGGTGACAGATGCAAAGATTGGGGTGGGCACACAAAAACGCAGCTCTACTCACATGTAGGGCATCCCCAGGGCTCTGAGCATCCCCAATGCTGCTGTGGGGAACAGCTTCCCCTTCCCAGCCATCACCCAGGGCCACCTTTCTCTTGCAGTCGTCCTCATCCCACAGCTCTGCCCCAGGAGCGTGGCAGCAGGCGATGACCATCATGAAACCGGATCCTGGAGATGGTAAGCAGAGGACACACACATGCTGCCAAGCCCCGACAGCAACCCCCATCCTCACAACAAGGTCCTCATCTGTGCTCTCCCCTCCCATCCTCAGCACCCCAGCTGGACCTGGGCAAGAAGGTGAGCACACCACAGGATGTGATGCTGGAGGAGCTCTCCCTGAGCACCAACCGTGGCTCTCAGCTCTTCCAGCAGCGGCAGAAGCGGATGCAGCGCTTTGTCTTTGAGCACCCCAGTGGTTACAGGAAGGTGTGTGCCTGGCTCAGGGTGGGGTGGTGTCCCCCACCTCTTGCAGCCTTTGCAGTAGGTGGCTCAGTGGGCTGGGTGCACAGCGTGGTCCAGCATCCCACTCACAGCAAGGGGATGGCAGTAGAGCTCTGAGCCCTGTCCTCCCCTTCTTGCAGCCCCCAGGGCCAGCTGGCTCACATGGCACCGAGAGAGGAGAAGGAGCAGTCAATGAGTGGACAGTGAGTAGACAGCATCAAAGATAGCATCAAAGTGTTCCTGCTTGCATCCCTCTCTCCCCTATTTTGGACAGCCGGGCAGGCTGAGCCCCCAACCCTTCCACCCACAGGCTGGGAATGCTGAGGGCCAGCAGAGCTTTCACTCCGAGCTGCACGTGGCAGTGTCACCCCATGGTGGGCCTCCCGAGGTGCCCAAAAAGACAGAAAAAGTCTTGCACATGATCAAAGTCCTCAATCCAGATTCTCTGGCACCAGGTAAGCTTGCATCCCAAATCTGACCCTGTTGTGATCTCCATGCAGTGCTATAGGGCAGCTGGGCAGTGCACCATGGTCTGTTCCTCAGAGGACGTGATTTGAGTGCTGTGCTTTCCCTTCCCTCCCTTCCTGCCCATGGGGAACAGCCCTCACCCAGGAGTGAAGAGGTCCTCCTCATCCCAGATATGCCACAAGCTCTGCATATGCCCTGAAGTCTGCAGAAACCCAGTGTTGCCACACAGCCCCTTGGATGTGTAGATATATAAATATAGCAATGTTTTTACATGTGTGTAACACCCTCCCCACAGGGTACTCAACCCCTCTCAAAGAAGTGCCCCCAGAGAAGTTCAATGTCACAGCCATTCCCAAGGGCTACCGCTCCCCGTGGCACGGACACATGGATGACAAGGACAAGGCTGTGGGCAGTGAGAACCGGCTGCCCATGAAACTCCCACATGGGGATTTCATAAACTTCAACAGGTAAGGCTGGCTGAGGTGTGAGCAGCCCCAGCCTGGGGCACCTCCATCCATCCATCCATCCATCCATCCATCCATCCATCCATCCATCCGTCCATCCATCCATCCATCCATTCGTCCATCCATCCATCCATCCATCCTACCGGGTACCCTCAGGAACACCTGCTGAAGCTTGGAGGGCTTGTTCTCAATCCTGGAGAAGGGTTCTCTGATGTTCTCTGTCAGACTCAGCTCCGAGCTGGGTGGAGGAGTGGCACAGGCAGCACCAAATCTCCCTCCTAATTTTCTTAAGGTAGCCAAACAGCTGCTGGAAGCACAGGGGTGCAAAGGTTAATCTTCTCACAAGGTGCTAAGAGGTCACCAGCTCCTTTCCAAACACCTGTTTGGGACAGAAGGCTCCAGCCGTGCTGCTGGTGACTCAGCCTGGCAAGCTCTGTGCTCTGTAGCTGCTTCCAGCAAAGCTCAGCTGCTGTGCCCCCTGCATGCCTCCCAGTTACACCAGGAGCAAAGTTAACACCTGGAATGGGCACTGCCAAGGAAAAACTACCAGCATTTGGTGGCCATTCAGGATATCTGGTGGTAGAAGCAGCCCACAGCTTCCCAGCTATTCACTTCCAGTGCTGTGGTGCAGTAACACCAGGGAGCTGCTGTAAGCACTTGGCTCTTTCCTTTCAGCATTTACCCATCTTCCTGCCTCAGTATTTATTTATGGACAGAGACTCGAGCAAGGGCATGTTTCTGAATGATGCTTTACCCTGCACCATTTCTCCCCTCTCACACGCTGCCTTTCTATTTAAAGCCTTGAACTGTTATTTAATACAGATTGATGCTAATTTAACACCGAGCCTCTCACCACCTCCTCTAATTCTTCACTGAGGCATGAAGATTCAGAGAGCCAATCTGCTTTCAACTTGGGCTTGTCATGATCTTCCAAGCTGTTGGCTTTTAAATCACTTCTCAGTTCATCAAATACCAAACTGCAGAAAAACATGCTTTTTGGAACAGAGCAGCCAGCGTGAAGCCAGCAGCCTTGCCTAGAGCTTGGTGAATCCCAATGTGTCACGGGGCAAGGCAAAGTTCACCATCTCAACAGCAACTGCTTTAAAGCAGACTGATTTCTTCTCAGCTTTCACGCTGTGAAGCACAGACCTTCAGCCAGCTTGCTGAAGTTTGCTACCTTAAGAGAGAGTGAAAACAAAGCTCTGAAAATGACTCTCTTAATGGGACAGAGACAGCTTCCGAACCAGCCTCTCATTTACCTTTCCCCTCTTATTTCTCCCTAGGACACTGTTGCAAAACAGTGCCACGTTGCTCATGTTCACACAGTGCTACCCAAAGCAAACACTCCCAGCTCTGCCTTATTGATAGATGAGCCCCAGCGTGGCGTTCCAAACCCAACATTCTTGGCTTTCTGGGTGCTGGCACTGCTCACCCCGCTCCCTTTCGACATTTCTCCAGAAAGGGACGACAGCTCTTTGCCCCCGCACTGCTCCTCCTGTTAGTCATAGCTCAAGAGCTGTCCCAAAAGGCGAGGTGGAACAAGGGCCAGGAGAAAGCCATTTGCCTGAACATGTGCTAGAGCAATCAGAAGGCAGCATGAGGAGCCTCAGCCCCTGCAGAACACATTAGCTGTGAACAAGCTGCTGTCTGTAGACCAGAGGGTCTCTCAAATCTAACCCCTTTTCACATCTCATGAAAACAGACTGTGGTAAATGCACCAGCAGCCATGAGCACTCACACACCAAGAAGCACCACCCCAGCCTGCCCAAACTCGAATGCAGCTTCACTCTGTACAGAAGTACACCGCTGAGCAAGCAGAGTGTGAGGGCATCCTGGGAAGCTATTGCTGTACTGCTGGGCTTGTTGAATTAAAGCTCCCAGACCTGCATAAAGCATTGCTTTCAAAACATGCACACCATCTATGTGCTGTGCTAAGTTCACCCTCTCTTGTGCCACAGGACTCCCACGCCGTTTGACAAAGCCCAGCTCAGCGACCTCTTCTATGTGCCTCCTGCCGAGCTGGACCTGAGTGTTCTGGAGGTGATCTCCCGCAGACCCAACTTCAACAGAGTCCCTCAAGGCTGGGCACGAGTTCTGCCTGAGAGTGATGAGCTGTAGCACCCACGCTCCCTTCCCCATCGCCACGGATGCTTTTCTCGCTAGAGTGAGCCGTACTTTGCACAGCAGGGGAGAGGGGATGAAATCTTCCTGCCTGGCACTTGGTGAAAGACAAGCTAGTGGTCTCGTGTTGTCATTCTTTTCTATGGGATTTGAACAAGCTCAGGTCTGGGACCATTTTGAATTCTCCCCACGCCAGTCACTGTCACAAGGACGTTTAGCACTAAGCTGAGCAGCCAAGCTCTCATCGCTGATGCAAGGAGATCCCTGCGAGCTCCCATCACCGTCACCACACAAAAATCCTGAACAGGCTGTTCTCTCCCCCGTGCTTTGGAAAATGGCAGGACCACCAGCTGCAACGCACCGAGCAGCCTCGCTGCTTGCTGACACACAAGAGCTGCTCTGACAGGTGGTGTCTTTGCAGAGAAATTCCATCTTAAGGACAACTCTTCATCTGCCGTGCTGCTCAGGACAGCGAGAGGAGGTGAATGCTGACAAACACCAGCAGAACAAGTCACCAGAGGCACCGGCATGTTAAATGCAGTTATGTGGGGCTTGGCTGGACAGCAAAAGCAAATGATGAACTGGTGACCTGCTTGTTTACCAACACACATACAGCACAGCCTGGAGACGAGGAAAAGGTCAAGAGTTGGATATTTGTGCCTTTTCCTTGAACTACTGACTAACTACAGCTGTTATTTTCTCCTCCTTCCTCCTATCTGCATGCCTTAAGATCAACTTAAGCTCTTCGATCAACTTATGTCAGCTTGCCCTCATACAGCTGGTGAGTAAGGATCAGGCCCTGCTGGACTAGACACACTGCAGAGCTGCATGGGTCACAGATCTGAATGCTACTGCCAGGGTATCTGAGTAGCTTCAGCATCCATGGAGAGGAACAGCAGCACAGTTGTGCCCCTACAGCAACCCCGGGCCTCTCCATAATGTGAGTATCAGCAGTGAGGATTTGACTACAGGAACTTTTCCAGCAGTGACAGGCAGTGGGACATGCAGCTAACAGCAGTACCCAGCACAACCATCCAGAGCACCTGAAAAGTCCTGCTGAGCACTAACAAAAAGCTGTAATGCTTTCTACAACTGCTTTTGTCAAGTTCTTAATTCACCTCTATTTAACCTTGTGATAAAAGGAGCATTGGGATAAAAGTGTGTTTTTCCTACACCACTGTGGTTAAACTAGACAAGCAAATTTTGGTGTAAAATGCAGCTAACAGCTGCCTCACTTATAAAATATATTTTTGATGCTATGCAGATGGATGCATAGAGGAAATCCCAAACAAGAGTTCTGCTGCAGCAACACATCATACAGGCAGGAAACTTGCATTTCTGTTTTTCCCACAGAAGCACAAGGGGATAAGCAAATGGGACGAAAAAAGGTCTATTCCTTTAACGTTATAAACTTACAGTGCACAACTTCTGATCTGTTCTAAACCCACCTCTCTTCCCTTTGTCCACCAGCTGAAGAAAATGCTTACCTCTGAGGATTTGGTTAGAAAATAAATTAATTGCCATCATGTAAAGCTTGCCTGAGTTCTGTCTGCAGTGCTCATGGGCCCTGACTGGAACCCTGGGGCCAGAGCAGCAGCAGCAGCCCTCCTGACCCACCAACATGCCCCAGCCTCCCCCAACGCTGCCTTGGGCTGCCTCTCACCTGATGAGAGCCAAACTCCTGACCAGGGAGTGCAGACTGTGCCCCAGTTGTGTCCCTGGGGCCGTGCCTCTGACAGCACCACATGCTTTCAGCAGAATCAGTGCTCAGTGCCTCTGGGTCCTATAGGTCAGTACGGAGAACTAGAAGTGTATTCACTGTTACAGCACACTTTGTAGCTGCTTTGGTGGCAGCTGAATAAAATCAAAAGTCCTCAGGCACCCTGCTCCAGGGTCAAAGCAAAGTACTGAAAAATTCATGTGTTTTAATGTATTTTTTTTTAAACAAGCAAATGAGGCTTCAGAACAGGTCCCATCATGTTTTGCTATACAGAGAAATGTCCACAGATCCATTACAAGCAGCAGACATACATATCACCTTAAAATTCTCTAGCCATGTGCCCATACATCTTATTCAACTGCAGGCTCCATGAAAGACACAGTTGCTCCTAGACAAATGCTACGGTTGGAGGAAAAAAAAAAAGAAAGGTTTCATGTCTTATCAAATCAGAAACACCTGATCCATCTCACAGTTCAAGACTGTATCCAAAACCCTTGAAAGCCTGAAACATGCTCTGAAAATACACAGGACAAGTTTGCAGCTGTACGTTGCTGCTGACAGCTGCAGGGGGTGCAGAAGCCCAACCTCTGGGGACCTTCATTAGGTTAAAACTGCTCACCTGTCACTCCAGGTCACACCTGCACTATCAGCAGGCTGCTTGCTGCTTATCTTACTCAGGATATGTAGGATTAGAAATAAAGCACCAAAAGCTTTTTTTTTTTTTTTTTTTAGTAAAAAAAAAAGGGAGCAATTCTGTGGCACTTGTAAGGCAAAGCAATGAGTTTGGCACATGTGATAAGCTTGTTTTTCAGCTCTTATACTGTCCTGGCTTAATACTACAAGATTAATACCTAATTAGAATAACAAGTCATTACTTAATTGACATAGAGAAGTCTCTCATCACATTTAAATAGTCCATAATGTTCAGACTGAAGATACCAAATGGGTTTGAAAAGGGTTTAGTCTGTTTTTTCCAGAAGTTTATTTCAAAAGTGTGCAAATGGGATACACTAACAGCACTGTAATTCTGATACATCTGATCCCCAGACCCACCTGACAGTCTTTTCTGCCCCCACCCCACCCCCTCCCCACCCCTATACACTAAATGAGAGATCTGGGATGTCTTAACGATCTGATTAGCTAACAGTGACACAGAGCTCAGTTTGCCCAGTGTCTGCAAGCAGGGAAATAAGGCTTCTCTAGTTCACCCACAGCTCAACATACGGCACTACCATGGTAACTAGAAAATAACATTTACTTAAATGACAAGGGTGGCACAACGTGCTAGGGGCTGCTGTGCTTTCCTGCGTGGGCACCCATCCTCTGGGGATCTTGAGATGGGTAGTGAATGGGGCCCGGGGCTCTCATGAAGGGAGGTGGTGGCCCCATGGCGTGGAACATGTGTGGTCCAAAACCTGCAGAAAAAAAAACTGTCACGTTCAGACAAAGCAACAGAACACTCATGTGGACCTACTGCTGTTTGAAAGTACTGATGAAAAACACTTGGCTAACTGCTGCACGTCAGAGAGGTTCCATGATTCCTCAAGTCTTCAAAATCCCTCCTCTCTTTTCAGTAAAACTGGGACCAATCCTTAAACAGTACATTTCTTTAGGCACAGATAAAAGCTGGTGGGGGACTGGCACGTGTGTCTAAGGTCAATCTAAATTGCTTTCTACTTAGCTGTGGAGCAATTACATCCACAAGACATGATGCCCCACAAAAAGACTTGTCTTCAAACAGATATAGACACAGCTGAACACGGGCTGGCATTTAACCAGCTGCAGAATTACCCTTTGATGTTCAGGTTAATGCACCATGTACACAGTCAGCAAATACCCTGAGTAGATGTGAATACCAGTAACAGGGATCTCTGACATGCCTGAAAATTTGAAAGTGAATACATACCACAACAGGCAGCTCAGTTTAATCAAACTGTGCTGACAGCTCATTTCATACAATTGTTTTAGTTTGCATGATCAGGGATGAGGAAAATCAATATAGGGCATGCATCAGTGTTACAGTCCAGCTGAGCAAGAAGGACTATATCTCTAGCCATCCGTGCTGGATCACCAATTTACATATTTTCATTTGAAGAGGAGAATTAAGTACCTGGAGGTGGTGGTGGAGCAATGCCAGGAGGCGGCGGCAGGGCAATGTTAACCACGGCTGGAGGGCCACTTGGAGGTAGATTGAAGTAATTTGCAGAAGCCTCCTCTTCTGCAGCTGGAGGAGGTGGGAGGGCTGCACGATACAACAACAAAAACCAAACACACTGTGGTTATGGAAATCCCAAATACTCAGGCAAGAGCTGCAGAAGCATCTTCCTTCAGGGTGGAGAAACAATCAGTGTGCCCTTGTGGAAGAACTGCTGAACACCCCCCCATTTTTATCCACCAGAAGCCAGCTTTGTTTTTTCCTTCACACAACACTCAACGAATTACAAAAACATGAATCAAGCCTTGAACAGTCTGTGTTGCCAGTATCTTGGAACTGAGTAACTTTAATTCACCCATCACATGACAACCTTCTTTTCAGCAAGAATTTGCTTCTAGACAAAGCTCACTTCCCATTCCAGATTGATCTGCCGCAAACCTAGCGACTGCTTTGGGCTCACCAGTGCCTCTGCTGTTCTGAGCTGATATTGCTTGCAGAGGTTTAACTCCAGCCCTTCCCATGGAGGCAAGTCAGCTTGAAATCTACTCCCTTACCTCCGGGAAGTCCTGGAACTGGCTCAAGCTTTATCCCAGATTCTGTAGTACCTTCCTTGTCCTTCTCTTTACCTCTTGCTGCCTGGGACCTAAAAAACGGACAAAAGTTTGAAGACAAGGATGAGAAAAGGCAAGGTAAGGAGATACACTGCAATAATTCCACATTTCATCATTTAGATTCACTGCTGCAGGCCAGAATTGAACAAAAATTACACTCAGAGGTGGCTGGATTCAAGTATGCAAATACTGTTTACAAGATGTAGAGAGGAAGCACAACCACAGAAACTCATCTGTGACCTTCAACCAGCAAACTCCCTACACAGCTTGTGTTATCTCGAACCCAGATCCTATTGCTGGGGGAAAAAAAAAAGAAAAAAAAAAACAGACTGTAAGAGAACCCCAGCTATGTATCAGCTCGTTACCTACTTCAGCTTAACAGCCAATTCAGCTCTCAAGATTACATAAACTAAATAAAGATCCACATAGTTCTGCCTATTTGAGAAGCAAGCCCCCGAGGACAGCATACACATGGCAACTGAGAAAGTGATAATGTGTCTCCATGTCACTCCCAGTACTCACCTTCCCCATTTGACATTGAGCCTGCGACCGTTGACAATGAGCTTGTTGAAAGATTTCTCAGCAGCCACTTCTGCAGCTTGCCGGGTGGCAAACTGGATGAAAGCACACTGTTGCCTCTGCACTACTGTTATTGTCCGGATCTCCCCAAACTGGTAGAAGTGATTTCTGCGTGGAGGATAAGAGAGTATGAAACCCTGCTCCTCTTAGCCACAGAATACACAGCAATTAAATGTGATAAAATAGGTATGTTTGGATCCTTTCTCCATCATCAGTTCAGAGCAGTGAGTACAAATCAAGCCACTTGCTCTTCCATGTAATTATGGAACAATAAAATAAACGCTTTAGTGTAGGATTAGGCTAGGTTGGGCTTTTCTCAGCAGCTAACTAGAGAGAAAATACAGAATTTGTTGTAAAAAGTATAACACATTATCCCCAAGAATTCAGAAAGATGACTCATCTTTAAGATGTCTCTCTTAATCAAAGCTCTTGAAATGTGCTTGTTTATTTGTTCTCCAACAAGCTGGCACTCCTCTGCACTTGCCTACGAACAAGCTCCCCATTAAAGAAAACTGAAAGCCAGTTTTTTTTCCCCCCCTTGAAGGACAGATTTCCTCCCTTGAAGATGAGAAGTACCCAAAGCATAAAACATACAAGCAAATGCACCAACACACCTGAGATCTGATTCAGTGATAGTATCTCCAAGCCCTCCAACGTACAACGTAGTGATAGTCTTATCATCAGGAGGGTCCAGTCGAGGCATGGTCGATGCTCGTTTCAGAAGCTTATCAGCTACAGGATCGTTAATTCCATAGTAACGATCTTTGATATTCTGATCAGCCAGAGGATCATCTGGATCTGTAGGTTTCTCATGCCTGGGGTTCAGCAAACAAAGTATTTCTTAATGCCCGTCACAGCTGCAGCTTACATGACTTCATCCACTACTTTCCCCTCTAAACACCATCTGGTTGCTTATATGCTTAACTCTGCTCACAGAAAGATGTCAAATTGGAACAAAAAGCCCGAAGAAGTCAGACTGGGGCTATCAACATGCTATTGGCAGAACTGCCTGGAGTTCAGAATGAATGGCACTTCTGACAGCCAAGCATTCAGTACTACAAGAGCTGGATTTCAAATGGCCTCTTGTTCAAATACAAAGACCTCTGATTGTGGGGACTGACGCCACGATGAGAAGAAATGAACTATGCAAGAGAAGAGCTGCAGTCACTGCTTTGGCAAAACACTACAAATCTACGCAGCAAATTCCTCACAAATGAGCCTGTCACAACAAAAATTTATTCATGGATGCTGCACGCCACCTTACTGCAAATTTCACACTAACTCGAATCACAACGTTGCACCTCCTGCCCACTGCAGCATTTCCTGTTCTTCAGTCCCAAAGGGGAGGTGTATCTGACCACGGTGAACAGCAACTATTTGAGTTGTGTACGTACCTGTAAGGACATTCTTCTCCTCTCTTGCATTCCCCTTTTACCCAGAAGGAACAGATGTGAGGACGATTACGTTTATAGTAAGGAGTGGTCCGAGCCAGCTTCAACAGCATGTCACTGGTAGAAGTAGCTTTTCCTAGTGCACCAACTGGTCTGGTGCCATCAGAGTTGGCTATCTACACAGCAGTTAAAAGGCAGGGAAAGTATTGTAAATATATACATATTGTATACACACACACACAATACTGACAAGTAATGCAGAATGAAAACAAGCACATGATTTTAAGATGATGTAGGTCATTCTTTTTCAGAGAAAGTGTGTTTGACCCCCTTCCTCCCTGTACACATCCATACAGAGATCATAATCATAATGACACTTTCTTACCTCTCGTTCCATGTTCTGAGTGTAGTACTCTTTATTGACATCAGATTTAGGCATTTCATCCTTAAGGGACAGTCCTGCATCCCGGACTTGAATAGGCAAACCTAGAATTAAACAAACAAAAAACCCCTATGAAGCACAAGCTGAAAGAGCAAAAAAATAGTTACTACAACTCACGTTAAGCAGAGATAACTTGTCTCCTGCGCAAGAACACCAGGCTGCCCCTGAATCTCAGAAGAGATCTGATCACAAAGACTTGCTCTTCTCAAAGTCTGGAAGCAACTACACCAATTTCATGCACACATTTAAAAGAAGCTTTCACTTCAGAAGCAAGCAGAACTGCTGCTTCTCTCAGCTGACCGTTTTTGGTACACACCATATTCCAGATCAAGCAGACAGGTTTGACAGACATTCTTCAACTTGCTGCAGGTCTGGCATACTTCTGTCTTCTTGAAACGCATACGAACACCAGGACACCAGCGAAACACTGTGAAAGGCCTGGCACAAATCTGAAAGACAGAAAGTAGACAACTGAGCTGCTATCACACCACAGCCAAGATATCATTTGAGTTCCTGCATGGAAATGGAAAACTCAAACACGCCTAGCCTCATTGAAATCTTAAGCAAAGTTCTAGGCAAAAAAAAGTTCAAGAGCTCAGGATAATGCTGATTGCTATTTGCTGCCTTACTGTGACAGGAGGAAGCTTTTGGAAGGTTTGGAGTTATTAAAATAACCTGAATGCTGAAAGCAGATCTACTCAACAGGAAGAATTCATTTTTTATTCCAAATGATGTCAGCATGGAGCTATTAGAGAAAAATTACCAATTATGTGTAAATTGAGAGGTCACTGAAATAGCAGCAAGCCCAGTGAGAGCTTACTGACACAAAAAGTACTGCCCTCTATGTTATGTGTTGGAAAAATGCATCTGCTTCTGCTGCATGTATATTTGAGGAACAGAAGCAAGGTAACAAGATCTCAACGCGTAGCTTGTCCCTACCTCAGATGACAACTGATAAAAGGGGCAGAGGGACAACTCAAGTCAAGAAAACACAAAATAATTCTTGCTCTCTCAGATACAAACCTGTCTTATTTTGTACAATGGCTAACACAAATTATTAGCTGGCAAAAAATAACAGATTCACAGCAAAACCTAAACTCCAGTTACTAATGCATCACGTAGCAGTAAAAACAAACTTTCAACAGAAAATATGAAATCAAAACCTAATAATTTTCATAAGTGTGAGCAAATCTTAACTCTGTTAGCAGTAATTTTACAACTCAAGAATAACTAACACAGGGAAAATTATATACCTAACACGGACATAACTGCATGAAATGTTAAGCTTTTAGCCAAAATAAACACTTTCCTGAAGCCAGCAGATGCTTTCAAAAATATTAAAACACACATTATTCCCAGCTGTGCACCAATTCAGAAGCTTGTTCTTCAAAAGACAACGAACATACCTTGCATTCTTTTCCATATTTCTCTTTGGTCTGAAATATAATAAATAAATAAAAAGAAAAGAAAATATGAAATATCAAAATATCATTAGCGAATGATGAAACGTCATCACTGAACTTATAGCACAGTGTTCCTGTTCTTATCATACTGCAGTCAGACTCGCTCACCTCTACTTTTGGTGCTTAAGCAGAATCTCTCTTGCCTGGCAAACAGGACCAAAAAAAAAATCTAAGAAACTCTCAACCTATTTCTGTTTTAGAAGCACTCATTAAAACAAAGTATTATGAGCCCCACCTCATGCACCAAAGAAAAACAATCATGAAACAGATTATTAATACTATTTTTAAGTGAAAATGATGTAAGTGCATAAAACAAACACACCAAAACAAAGCATTTTTTAGATATCTATATGGACTATAAAGTCGCGTTCCATAAAAATATAACAGCTCTCAGCAAACTTGGGGCAAAGATAAACGAAAGGTATACCCTATGTAACTGGACTGAGCACTGGGAAAAGCAGCATGGAATGGCCTGACTCATCCTGGACAGATGAAACCAAGGTCAACAAAGCAGGATTTAAATTAGTGTCTGCAGCCTCTGTCAGACAGTTCTAGCTCATTTTATGAGCACGTTATGCAGATTTTAGAGATTGTGCTCATCTATTTAATATTTCAGCAGCTCGCTGCTTCCCACATCACATGACTTACTGGTACCAAAGCTTTATTGGTATTTCCTGCACTCCAGACATTAGACTGTGACATCCTGCTCAGCTTTTTGACTGAGTTAATGTTAAACCCTGCACCGACCACCGTGATGTGATGCACTAACAAAGGCACGAACTAAACCCTGCAGTGCACGGCCAAGGAACCAGGAGTGCATGTCCTCAGCATCTCCTCCTGCACCCAAGCTTGCTTGAGCTCTCAAAACCGAACAGTTCTACGGCCATCAGCACCCAATGAAGGGCACAGGGCCACAAGCACATACCATGCGAATGTATGGGTTTTCTCCAAGACACGTCTGGCACAGAATAGGGAAGTCCTGAGCGGAGAAAAAAGAAAGAAAACATGCACCGAGCAATCAAATCATTACAACAGCACTGGAATCACCCTCTACGCTCATCCTGCCGAGCGAACCCAGCCTGACTTAACAAGCTGCTCACAGGACCGGCTCACAGAAGGCCACTTGAGAAGCTGCAACCCACGTCCTTATTGCTAAAGGATCGCAGCAGGCCAGCCGCTCCTGTTCTCACACCCCACCTTACACACACCCAGCCCAAAGGACGTTCCCGAGGCCCGCGCTCCCCAGCTCTGCAGCAGAAGCCAACCCCGGCCCTAGGGGCCCCATCGCGCCGCCCCAGCCCAGCCCGCAGCCCCACAACACGGCCCCCCGCCGCCGGCCGGATCTCCCCAAGCTCACCGCATCCTCCCAGTTCTGCCGGTTGTAAGTGTTGGAGCCCAGCGACGTCGACATGGCGGCCCCGCGCCGCTCCGCCTCGATCCCGGCAGGCGGTGGGATCCGGAAGTAACGTCACTTCCGCTAGCGACGTGCGGTCGCGAGAGGAGCGGTGGGGGCGCTCTAGGCACTGCCAACCATAGAGACGAGCCAGCGCGGCGGAATCAGAGCGAGTGGGAGCGGAGACGAAAAGCATTTGGTGGGCGGGGGCGCTCAGCTTTTTACATTTTAATTATTACTATTTCCCCATTAACGGCGGTGTAAATAACAGCGTAGAGTCTGAGAGCCAAGGTCGCTTTATTGAAGATTACTACATGAAGTTAAGCAGTAAGGCAACAGTCGCCTGTCATTAACGGGTAACACCGACGGGCAAGAACTCCTGCGCCCCGGGAGCAAGGACAGACAGACGGACAGACACAGCTCACGGCATTGCTATCACCTACAAGCACCTAAAGGAGAGGAACATCTCACCGAGCACATCGGACTGCTCGGACAGCCACCGCCCTGCGCACCCAGCAGCTGTCAGTGAGGCACAGAGCCCAGCAGCTCGTCATTCTCCAGTAGCACAGAGCACAGCCCAAGCCCATCCCAACGCCTGTGGTGGCACTGGGACCGGGAGCTGCAGCCAGAAGGCTCCATCAGCCAGCAGCATCCCGAAAGCTGTTTCCATAGGTAGTAGTGTTGCAGCTAAGGAGAGAACTGATGGCCAAGGTTTAAGTGTTTTGTTATCTGGAAGGTAAAACAGCAGCAGACGCTAGCGCTATACGTTAATAAATACAAACTACACTTCTTAAATTCATGCTGTACACCTGTGTGTAACCTAGGCATTGTAAACGTGCTGACTTGATGCTCTGGGAGGCGCTGCAGGAGCAGGGCTGTAAGGCGCGTGCTTCCCTTCCAGGCACGGGGAAACCACCCCTCTGGGCACACTAAGGCAGGCTGCTTGGTTTGCAGGAGATGTGGCCTTATCCCTCCCTCCCACACAGGGATATGCAGCTCTGGGGTGGCAGAACCACAGCACAAGCATCGTGAGCAACAAAGCTGTCCTTGGCTGATACACAAACGTCTCCCAAAGCCAGCACATCAAAGCCCATTGGAAATGGGTCATGAAAGTAAACATTGAACTGGGAATAAAACTGAAGTCTCTCAAGGACAAACAATCTCACCCACTCACATTGTACTACTGCAGTGAACTGGCATTCGATATCCTGCATACACTCTTTTTAATTAAAGTTTTAGTTTGGACTATGGCCGAATTACACCCCAGATAATTTTTTTCTTTTTTTTTTTTAAACAGTGGTACAGTGTATGCTAGTTACAGTATAACAGCCTTTCTTCTTTTATACCCCCACTCCCACAGCTGGAAAAGACAGTATGAACTTGGACAGCCTCAGTAGTTTTTTGTATGCTAGAACTAATCTCAATTCTCCAAGTTTAGTACTGATTGCTATCCCTATTAACACACATTTATTAATACAAAGATTGGCAGGCAGCCTCTCAGGACCACTCTCACCTCAGTAAAGAAATGTAGCACAATGGGACTTCCCAGCTTCTAACAATTCACACTACCACATCCACCTTGCAACACAACGAGCCTACAGTGTGGTTGGTGGCCAGTCAGATCCATGAACACTGCAGTATATCACGTTCTGGGACTGAAGACAAAAAGTGACCGTTTCCTTTGTGAAAAGATTTACCACTTTGGCTAAGGAAACTACATGTGCCAGAGTGTTTTTTCACAAGAACAGAAAGGGTTATACATCTGAGTGCCCCACAGTTATTTGAGGTATCCTAACAGGAAGCAAAAAACAAAGGAAAGAAAGCATCATGCTGCAGCAACAGACTTGTCAGTAACGCAGCAGACACTGCCACCTCCTAAAATGTTTGTTTGAGAAGGGCATAGCTCTGTGTTTGGGAAAAAGTTCACTTTTGTGTATGTAACATTAGGTTCGTGGGCTGACTTGAAAGAAGAAGAAAAACAATAGGTTTCTTTTTTGTTGATAAAGCCAAATTCAGCCAGTAACACAAATCCGGAGAAAGCTATCTGCGTGCTGAAACACGTGCTGTGAGTTAAACTAGCCTGTGGCAGTGTGGGGAAGCAGAGCTTTAGATAGTGGGCACTATGATAAGAATAGAGAACAAATCATCCCAAACCACAGCACCCTCACCCACGCAGCCTCCTCCTGATGGCCTGGCTGCAGCCTGTGGCACACACCCACACATCACACAGGAGCTTTCACAGAAGGTTTCACCAGGGTGCATTCTTTCACTGACAGTCCATCCTGCGGCCAGCCATGGGGACACGAGCGCTGGGAGCTTTTAGGGGAGCACTGGACCGAGGCTGAGCTCAACGTGGTGGGTAAGCCAGATGACCTCTGAGACCTGATCGCATTCTTCACTGGGCCGGATTGGAGCAGCAAGGTTTTTAAACTCGTGCTTCATCTTAAAGCTCACGGTCACGTCGCCCTCCTCTTTCTGTGGGGTAACCTTGATGAAAACTCCTACCTTATTGGCTTTTCTGAAGGCAATAACGCTGCAGAACAGAAAACAAAAGAACTGGGTCAGCTGAGTTCTCAACCTATTGTTCTGAGAGATTTATTCTGACATGAAGTAAGAAGGATGCTCAGTTTACAGCCCACGGGCTGAACATGCCTCACTAGAACAATTGCTCTGGTTGGTGGCTGTTGCTCTTTTCCCAGGGGACTCACAGCCCCTCCTGCCTCAAGATCAGAATGCACTACCCTCCTCTAAGCTGGCAGCTGCTGGCAAATCCATCAGCATATGCCTGCTTTGGCCATGAAGATATGTACCTAGTTATGCAACAGAGAAAGGCCATAATATATGGTTCAAGCTGCTCTGTAAGAGGCTGCAGAGTGTATTTCAATTCGAAAGCTGGAGGCACCTCTGTTGTAGACCCTACCATGTGGTTTCCATCACTTCTTTGAACCCTCTGCTTGCAAAGGAAAGGATTACATAGAGTACTGAAGAGAGAATCAGTACCATCACCTATAACTCAACTGCTCCAACACTATACTTGTTTTGAACGGATGAAATGTCTCCCGAACAGTCCAAACCACAAACAGAAGGGAAAGATTTGCACTGCTCTTCTCTGATCACAAAACTGAACAAATTAACAATTTAAAAAAAAAAACACCCACAACATGCTGAAGAGAGAGAGTATATAGCAAGCTACTTGGTTAAAGTGCCAAGTATTTAAGGAACAGGATCCCTACAGGACAGACAGCACTCACTCAGGGTCATCCTGGAAGTCCTGAGGCTCTGCCAGCTCATCATATTCTGCTGCAGCATCTTTGCCAGCCAGAATAAGCTCCTTGGGAGGAACTACCACCTGAAACAAAACACCAACAGAAACCTTTCAGTACTGACCACCATCTACACCACAAACAGGACAAAGTAATTCCCTTCTGCGGGAATTAAGCTCTCCTATAGCTTAATAGAATGATTCACCCTTGGCTTCTTCCTGCCCTGGCACTGTCTATTTACAACTGTTATTTGTGAAGTCACGTATTTCTCCCTTGGGCTCAGTATCTCAATGATCAGACAAAATTTCAAAATACATTAAGAGCTGATGTTTACATTGATGGTGGTAATTTAAACCTCCCAGGAAGAAAAGGAAACACAGTCAGTACGGATTAAAGGTGTGACCTGAGGAAAGATAAATGGGAGCAGAAAGCCTTGGAAGAGGCCAGGCTTGCACAGCAGGTACAATACCTTGGCACTGCTGTTAATGTTGTCAGGGTCTCCTTCTTCACACTCCAGCAGCGTGACATGTGTGATATTTTCCACTGGATTGGTCAGAGTCAGAAGAACTTGGCTTTCCTGGAAAGATTCAAGAATTGCAAGTCAAGAAGTAATTACGATAAAAGTCATCATTATTGTTAATACCCCCACTCTGTGACTGAACGACACCTTCAAAAAATCACACTGCTTACTCAAAGGATGGACAGCAAACAGCCCCATTCCTTCAGAATGCTGGCAACATCACACAGCACTCCACACCTTTTATTCTTCAGACACCAGCATGTACTCGCTATGCCAGATATCAGACTGCACTGTAATCTACTCACACAGTGTGACAAGTGCAGGCAGTGTTATTCTGACCACTCCCTTAAGCCCTGCACCCTCTCTAAACAAAGCTAGCAGAGTCCTCAGGAAACAGTCCCACATCCGCACCTCTCAGTTATATCTTACCCTAAAATGTTTCTGGAAAAAACACTGACCTTCATGTAGCGCAGGTTGGGAATAGACATGATTCTCACTTCAGGGATGTAGTTACTAAAACAACAACAGAGCAAATGACTGTGATAAACGGCATTGCTGTCTGTAACCTACCTGCTGAAGTAAGTATTCACAGGCATCTGGCTAGCATGTTCATTGCTAATAGAGCTTAGCTTACATCAAGCAAATAAATGAAGAGCCTTTCTGCTATATAAGGCTAAACCTACAACTCCTGCTACTATATGGGGCTGATCAGCATGCATTGCCTTTTTCAAACTGCTGAGGTCCTCAGCAAGCTTTCAATACACGAGGGAGCAAACTTACTACAAATTACTCAAATACATAAATTAACTGATTTTGTCATTTTAACAGATTACACAATTATACACAAGGTCAAATCAAGAGCACAAAAGAAATGAAAATATAAGGCTCTAAGTATTGGTAGTGGGCCCCACCCCCCACATCTTACTTACACAGCAACCATCTGGATCTTGAATTTGATAGATGTTGGGTTGAATTCTGGTTTGCTGAGGTTATGTTCACATTTCTAGACACAAAGATATTTTTGTTAGCACCAAAAGATAGCACGTGCTCATCAAACAGATGAACCAGAGCTGCAGGCACAGGGCCACTAGCCACAGCATTTACAACCTGTAGCACAGTACACATAAAGCTATCTTGGGATGCAAGTAGCCACAATGGTGGCAAGTTATTGATACTTTGAAAGTATATTATCAGTTCTATAGGTGCAATTTCAGAAATACAACTTGGAACCACACTTAAAAATACTCAGACACTGACTGCAGCAGAAAGAAGGCACAAATAACTGGAACCC